TTGGTGTGCGCGGAAGAATGTTTCATATAATCGAAAGTTACCTGTCAAACCGGACATTCCGTGTCCGTCTGGGCAGTGTGCTCTCCCAAACATTCGTCCAGGAAACAGGCGTGCCACAAGGTGGTGTGCTTAGTTGCACACTTTTTATTATTAAAATGAATTCTTTGCACTTGTCCATTCCCTGCAATATGTTCTATTGTACATATGTCGACGACGTCCAGCTTGGCTTCAAGTCATGCAACTTGGCCATGTGTGAGCGGCAGGTGCAGCTGGGTTTAAATAAGGTCTCCAAATGGGCAGATGAAAACGGATTTCGACTTAACCCACAAAAAAGCACGTGTGTCTTGTTCTCTCGAAAGAGAGGCATGCACTCGGAGCCCGACATTCGGCTGAACGGGCAACGTCTGTCCGTCAAAGCCGAGCATAAATTCTTAGGCTTAATCTTGGACAACAAGTTGACCTTCGTACCCCACATAAAGTCGTTAAAAAACAAATGTTAAAAGCAATGAATGTTATGTGCCACCTTTCAATCACTTGGTATGCATAGGTCTTCTCCGCCAAATTCGAATGACGTCCGTCGCGTCAAAGTTATGTTATTTCGACGTCAAATGGCATAAAAAAGCTAAGGAGAAAAAACGAAAAATAAACTGCCCTGTGACATTGACACTAGTGCTACGTGTTTGGTGTAATACATTCCACAAATACCATTTTGAGTGATGATACGGCAGTAATGATGACGTCGACGATCTCTTAGTGTATTTGGAGCCGACTCCCAGCCATGCTCTCACTAGTGGCTCTCCTTGCTGTGTTGAAGCGTGCGTGCGATACATCGTGTCACATCGACTGATTTCATTTCATCGTGTCACATTTTGTCATCGTGTCGCATCGTGTTTTGATTTCATCGTGTCACATCGACTGACATTGACATCGACTGAAAGGGTTTCGAGCTCGCCTTCTCTCACCATATCGTTTTCGCGCGCTGCTTCAAAAAACCGCATGCTTTCTTCTTTTTCAGCTCGTAATAACTGAGTCGAAAAATTTTTGTGGCAAAACGTTCTTCATCGGACAGCACACAACTTCCACTGTCTAACTAAAGTTCGGTATGGGGCCTGGTGAGTGGCTCTTTAAAAACAGGGTTGAACACGAGGCTATCATACCAGCAATGGCGTGTTCGCATAGGAGATTTTTCATTTTGTTATTTTTAGTGAGTGATGAGGATCATGTGATTCTCTTTAGCTTAGCGGTAAGCTTACGCGAACAGGAGTTAATGGCATGTTTGAGTCTGTGCTGTTTATAATGGCGATTCCATTGGGAGAGCAGGTGCACTCAAAAGCACGCTCAAAGTGCTCTCTTCCGAGGCGGCGTGTTTCAGTGGTCGAACAGGAGTAGGAGCACTGTCATCCATTGGTAGAGCGAGAGCGCTTTTGCTGCGCCGAGAGCAGCCAGGAGCAGTTCTGTCTGCTCCCTCTTAAAAAGCGGAGTGAGTGGAAAACGCAGGAAACCACGTGTTTGGAACGTCATGTCCGGACATACCTCTCAGCAATCCTCCTCACTTGTTTACATTTTGCGGCGTCGTGTCGGGCGGTTATGGCGGCAGCGAAGCGTGCGTGGTGCTCGGGCTCGAACGATTTTAACGTCGTAGCGGCAGATTCTGGCAGTGAACGTCCACCTTGCCTGCCTTCAGATTCACGGATGGCGGAGGCAGCAAAACGTCGTCGTCTTGCCGAAGTATTTGACGAGCTAGACGATGTCAGCAGCGATAGCTGCTGGAGCTCTACGTCCGAGTCGAGTTCAAGCAGCAGCGACGATGACGACGAAGTGTATGCAGCAGCGTTTCAGCAGCTCTTTTCTCTGCCAGAGCGAAGGCCGAAAGTGGAAGCATATGTTACAAAGACGGTGGCTAGCTACTCCGACGAGGAGGTGAGTCATTCGGCTTCTGTTTTAATTAGGTTGCTTAAAGGCCTGTTTTCTTCCAGTTCAAAAGAAATTTCCGCGTCACGCGGCCGGTCGTGGACTTCTTGGCAGCAGAATTCGCCAAGTCACCGCACTGCCCTCAGAACAGTGATCATGGTGGCCTGCCTGCCAAGTCGGCTGAAGAACACATTCTCTCCTTTCTTTGGTGAGTGTCCGTACGTTTAGGAATGCCGCTGTCATCAGGTCACTGCATATCCGTTTATAGTGGGTTAGAGGCATATGAAATATTGCAATAAATGTACCTAATTCGCAGCATGTCATTGGACCACCTTGCTTTAAACTTGTTAAATGCTACTAGCGAGTGTCGAACGTAATAGAGTTATAGTATTTTGTGAAATGCTTTCGTAGTTTGTACACCTACACACTGAGCTTCACAAAATTCTCGTTACTAGAATCAGTGGCAAAGCATAATTCATGATGCATCATTACAAACAACCATGAAAACTTTTGCTCACGAAGCATTTCAAATCGGCTGTGTCAGCAGGTTCACAGTGAGCTTCATCTCCACACTTATAAATGTAATGCGCGAATTAAAATTAGAATTTGTTATTTAGATAGTGCTTCTACTAATCAAATATTTTGAGTTTCTAAGGTGTCACCCAAAAAGGTGGAATCGTGTTTTCTGACTTCAGTTGTCTTGCTAATTTGCTTCATTGACAGCGACAGCATTGTTAACACCATTATTCAGTCATTGACAGCAACAGCAAGCTTAATTCCATTATTTAATTAGAGTATCCTCTCCTTTTCAGGTATGCAGCCAACAAAGCATGCATTAGAGATGTCGCTGGCCGCTTTGAAGTCGCAGAAAGCACTCACCACAGAATGATGGGCCGAGTAACTGCATTCCTGCTCGACATAGCACCGAATGTAATCAAGTTCCCCAGTGACCTGCAGAAGCTTGCTGTGGATTTTGAGAAGGTAACTATGCTTTTGTAAACATGCTATTTAAGGTATAAACTACAGTTTTTTTCACACCAATGTCATACAGCTCTACACAACTCAAGGGACCAGACTAAGAGGAATTACACCTACTCAAACCACAATAAGGACTGAAAGCAACTGATATGCAGGATCAGAACTGCAAATGAACAGAAAATGTAAAAATGCAAGAGATATGAAAGAGCACCACACAGTCAAGCCTCCTTCATGTGTATTACAAATGCTGTCAGCAATCGGACATTTTTCTTGAGTAGTTTTGACCATGTGATGCTGTTTCATATCTCTTCTATTTTCCCATCTTCTGCTTAGTGATGTACATCTAGTACTTGTCCTGCATGTACAGTGAATAAACCTAGAGTTCAGTTACTTGTGCACTCTGTATGTACTCTGTATGTGTCATTAATTCCCCTTCGTGCGGTCCCATGTGTTCTTTACCGCTCTACTATTACAATTATGAATTAGTTAGTGCCAGAATGCACCTTTTAAATAAGTTATTACAATTATTTTTCCCAGATGCTTCACAATTAAATAGCCAGTTAATTTCAATCATGTGTACCGGTAGTGTATTGCACTCGCCGTTATGAGCTTCAAGTCTCCAGTTTGTTTTAAACTTTTCCGCATGTTATTGGCACCTTTCATTACCCTTAGTGCCATGCTTATTTGACTATGTGTGTGCACATTTTTTTCTCTTGCAGCTGTCGGGATTCCCAGACACAATTGGGTGTGTTGACGGAAGCTACATGCCTATCAGGTGCCCAGCCAGGAAAGTGCGATCTGTTTATATAAACCGGCACCATTACCTATCCTTGACACTTCAAGGTGTTTGTGACAACAAGAAGAGGTTTCTTGATGCCAGCACTGGCTACCCAAGCAAAATTCATGACGCACGCATTTTCCGTCGGTCCAGGATTTCAAGTGTTTTGCCACAACTGTGCTCTAGCAAGTACCATATAGTGGGGGATGCTGCATATCCTTTCCGGGAGTACCTGATGACACCAATTCGAGACTATGGGAATCTTGACAGCATCAAAAAAACCTTCAATGCAAGACTCTCCGGGACAAGGGTGCTTATTGAAAATACTTTTGGCGATTTAAAAAATCGTTTCAGACAACTGCACAGGTTGGATATGTGGACAGTGGATAACATGTCCAAGTTTATCATTTCATGCTGTGTGCTTCACAACCTCTGCATTGATTGTGGAGATTTGCCAGAGAACCTGTCACGAGACCTGTCACTTACCTCACAAACAACAAATGTAGACTCAAGCTCTTCTGCAGTTCAAGTAAGCAGCAGTAGTGTAGCCCAACAGGATAGCCTATTACGTGGCTTGGCTAGCATCAAGAGAGATCACTTGATGATAAAAATGGGGTTGCAGAACCAGCAGCCATGAAACAAGGAATTCCTTTACGTGTTATGCAGTTGTGAGCAAATATATGCTTACCAAAGGCCCACCTGAAAAGCTGAACTCGTTAAAACACCTTCAAGGTTGGGAAAAATTGTCCTTACCACACACCTGTTGGCCCATTTGCATTTTCTCAAGGTAGTGTATTGTGCCAAACTAGAAAATAAAAGACATTGAAACTAAGTAATCGCTTTGGGTAGTACGTTTATTTATTTAAAACTACCACTTATTTTGGAAGTCCAAAGGCCTGACGGAGAATCTCCATTTTTTCTTCATGCATTTTGCGCCGCTCTTCACGAAGCACCTGTCGCTCGGCCTGCCTTTCAGCTCTTCGATTTTCTTTTTCTTGACGTCTGGCCGCCTTTTGAGCCTCCTTTTCTTCTTGCAGTGCCCTCATTTCAGTAAAAAACAACTGCATGTGTGCCAGGCGTGCAGTTCCTACCCGTGGCTTCGTGTCGGGATTTGAGGACTGCGTCTTATTTTCCTCAGTGGTGTTGGCAGGTGACAACACGGCCGGAGATTCGGGCGAGGCTTTGAATGTAGCCCCTGAGGCGTCTCGCTCTACCTCCGGTTCAATGCTGTCATCAATGCTTTCAATTTTTTTCACCTCGTCGTCAAAAGGCACAGGGGTGGGTGAAGCACCAGACCTTTTGTTATGGTCGGAAGACGCCTTCCGACGCCTAATTACTGTTTTGTACCTATTTCACACTGTTCTGGGGTTTTGGCTATGCCAAGCACAGCCTCGATGTCCATCGATATTTGTTTAAAGGCTTGCTTCCTGTTTTTGAATTTTTTAAATGGGCCAATCTGAGGGAAATATTTGAGGTAGTACTCTAGGAGCAGCCTTGTTTGCCCCTCTGTCCATTCAGCAGCTAGAATAAGAAAGAACCAACACATAAATGGTTTATTGGGAAACTGTCGGTCATTGTGCAGGCATTACTTATAATTGAATAATTTAACACACAGCACGGTCACTTGAGCTTAATTATCAATCAGCAAGCATTAATCAACAAAACAAGCATTTGCGCAGACTAGCAAACATACATAAGTGATAAGTTCTGGTATTGTGCATGTAAATGCAATATGCAAATTGTGCCAGTCTTCCAGTAATTGTAGTGGTCTGCTTTCCATGCTCTCTTTTTTTTTTGTCATTTAAGGATCACTCCTACAAGTACACTTTTACACGCTCTGATGCATGCTTGTTAGATTTACCCAAGAACACTTGCTGAGGCAATTGTAGACACTCAGTGTTAATATACTTGCCTCCACCTCCTCTCCTGGAGCCTGATGGCTTGCTTTGAGCACCAGTCTCCCCGTCAGCTGATCTTGATGCAGTGGGAGCTGGCAGGTGCAGAGTATCTGTGCCATCTAAAAAATATAAATGAGCAGTAAATGTAGTGCCTCGCAATAATGTTAATACTAATACTTACCACCTCCTGTTTCAACGCATGGCAATCTGAGCTCCATGCGCATTTCTTCGCTCCCTCGCCTTGGCACATCGCCAGCCATATTTGTACGCAGAACTGCATCTGTTTTCACACAATGATGGAAATGTAATCAAATCAGTTATATAATGAAAATGGTTTCTCAAGTAGTCAGCTACATTATGCAAACTCGGATGCCTTACACTCGAAGGTAAGCGGATTAGAGCAAGCAAAAAACAAATTCTAAAAAAGTCAATTCATCATGTTACAGGGCTGCATGAAACACTGCACAAATCACTGATAATTAAAAAAAATATCGCTTATCATACGTAGCATCTCGACCCTGCGATAAGAAATCGTGCTTCCGAGGAGATGTATGGCTTCACCGTATCACGTGGGATGCTGATCTGCCGTCTGGAGACATTAGCCACTTAAAAATCAGAAATAAAAATAAATTGTTACTGCGTGCAATACTTAGCTGCACCCACGTGACACTTGCTACACGCCACTTCGCAGTTACTTTTCTTAAACGCTGCGAATCATTCTGTTGCTGATGGAGGGGTCTGCAATGTAAGTTTGTTTTGAATTAAGGATTAATTACTCATGCAAGGAAACTTGGCAACAGGATAGTGTACTGCAGTACTTCTAGAATTGTTTACGTTTTGTTAACTGCTGATGACAGCAGCAGCTGGTAACTGCATGAACAGTCTGATAAAGCTGTCATATCCACGGTGTTTTTCTGATATGATAAAGAATAGTGGGCTTAGGTCCACGCGCGCAAGAATGCATTGCATGCTGCATGCGCGACAAGTGCGCTGAAACAAATAAAAAGCAATCAAATTCACTTTACCTTCCGTACTAGATGGTGCCTGGTGTTGAATTAAAGACAGTAGGATGCGCTGAGCTTCCGAGTCCATCATGTAGTAGTATACGAAGCAGCAGCTTTGCAGGATAGCGCGCAAGCGAGTGCGCTGTACCAACCACTGCCACACGTGCTTTCCTTGCCCGTCCGGATCAGACCGCACGTGTTTTGCAGCAGAGGACGCTGGGATGCACAACCTTTCTCCTCACTCGCCTTTTTATTCCCTCACACCTGCTCTGCGGAGGTGTGCCGCATTCCAGTGGCAGGTCGAGTGACGCGGCTCTCAGTGCTCTGCCCCCTACTCCTCTCTGCTCGGCACCCTTACTCCTGTTCTCTCAATGGAATTCGCCATAAGACACACTTAGATCTGTTGTAAGTTTTCGTTGGCGTCAGAGTGGCCTACAAGTAGGTACTCTCAACTACGCCTTGAAAGTATGTAATGAAAAAATAAAAACGCGCCCAGATATCTTTATAGGTTCACGCTCATTTGTGTGAAAATTAGTAGTTGTCTTTCATGAAGTTACTCATGATGTTAGCTGATATAAGTTACAACTTAGTCGTGCAGATGTTGAGAGAAAGCTAATTTTAAAAGAGTGTGATTATGGTTTTCTGGGGCCGAGTTGTATTTGCATTTGTGCGCTTTTCTCACGCGGCAAACTGTTCCATCTTTAGTAAGCATCTCCACATCCATGATTGTTGTAACTTTGGCTGCACAAAATTGTGTCAAAATTTTAGCGTAAGGGTTTTTTTCTTTTGTTTGTGTGTCTTAAGAAGCCTGGAAGGATTTTAAGCGAGTTCAATGTGCTTGACTGCAGCATAATATTCTGTTGTGTAGCTCGCTTTGCTGTTGTCGATCATTGTGGGGTGGTTTTGGAGTTGGTTACAAGTTCGCAGCTAGAGGGCCCAAGCTAGGTCATCGTCCTCGTCACCAACCATTCTCTTCGTGCCCAGCGGTTGGGAGCGCTGGCCAACGGAGATTTTCCGGGCGGCGGAGGAGCTCTTACGTTTGGCCCAGCAATTTGTCTGGGCAGACGCCATTGTGCATAAGCCGGTCTACTTGGGAGGCTTTCAACCCTATCGGTGCCCAGCCTGCAAGACACTGGCCAGTAGATGTTTCAGGAAGCAGTTAGGTCTCAAGGGAAGCTTCGCGAGGCAAGCCTTTTGTTGAGCAGGCTTGAACAGCAGGGGAATGACACCATTGTGGCGGGTTCTGGCTTGCTTGTTAGTTTTTTTTCGCAGTGTATAACGTGGAAATGAGGAAAGGTTTGTCTTGGCCGGAGGAAAAAATTGATATCTTCGGTGCGTACCCGCTTTGAGAAGGCACGATCACTAAGTAAGGGAAATGCTTTGTGCATGCTAAGTGTAGGTTGTTCAGTAGCGTTGGCGGCCACCCACCACGGAGCCCAACGAGGGGACGCTGCAAGTTTACGGATGCTGAAACCTGCAGACGCCAGCCGTACAACGCCACTATAACCCAATGCGCCTAGACCAAGGTAGCTATTTGCACAGGGTTAACCCTAGCCGCCAGGAAGTTTGGAAGTAAAACGGAAGAGAGTAGAAGACAGGACAGATAAATAGTAAGAGATAAAGACGAAGAGTAGGGAGAGAGGGATAGGAAAAGGCGACTGCCGATTTCCCCTGGGTGGGTCAGCCCAGGGGTGCCGTCTACGTGAAGCCGGGGCCAAAGGGGTGTGTTGCCTCTGACGGGGGGCCTTAAAGGTCCAATCATCCAGCGTCAGCTCAACCCCCAGGATTCCCTTTTCCCCGGACACGGCAAAGCCACGCACGGCTAGGCGTGGGAGGGAGTAGAAACTCCCCCGTTAGCTCGGGTCCGTGGTGTCGCTACACACCAAACGCCTGCTTTATCAGGCGCCCCTGCGGGGCCTCCATGCCCTGTTCTGTTCCTTTCGCTCATTACCATGCCCTGTTCTGTTCCTTTCGCGCATGTTCCTTTCAAGCATAAAGCATTTCCCCTATTAAGTGATCGTGCCTCCTCAAAGAGGGTACGCACCGAAGATATCAATTTTTTCCTCCGGCCAAGACAAACCTTTCCTCATTTCCACGTTATACACTGCGAAAAAACAAACAAGCAAGCCAGAACAGTATCCCCCTTCGTAGTGGCTAGGTCCTTAACCGAAACTCTCGGTGCCGGGTACAAGGTTACCAAAATGGCCAGTGGAGATCTACTCCTCGAAGTACGTGACAAAGACCAATTTGATAAACTGAACACCCTCACAACGTTTGGAGACACACCCATCAGTATTACGCCACACAGGTCTATGAACTCATCTCGCGGGGTCGTTTCGGACGCAGATTTGCTTGACCTGACCGAAGCTGAACTTCTTGAAGGATGGAAGAGCGAGAACGTGACAAACGTACAGCGCATTAAGATAAGAAGAGATCAAAAGGAAATCCCAACCAAACACTTAGTACTGACCTTTGCTTCGAGCGATTTGCCGGAAACTATTCAGACTGGGTACACAAAGACATCCGTGAGACCATATATTCCCAACCCCCGCCGTTGCTTCCATTGTCAGAGATATGGCCACGGCTCGCAAAGCTGTCGTGGCCAGAAAACTTGTGCTATGTGTGGAGTCGTGGGCCATGCGTCCGACAACTGCGAAGCACCTGCACACTGTGTAAACTGTGGCGGTAATCATGCCGCGTACTCACGTTCTTGTTCTTTCTGGAAAAAAGAAAAAGAAATCATCACTTTAAAGATAAAAGAAAACATTACATTTAAAGAAGCAAGAAAAAGAGTCTCGCCATTTTATGGCCCTACATATGCTGATGCGGCGCGCCAGGGGGCAGTGTCGCACCAGCCCTCGCCACTCCTTCGGCCTGCGCAGAGCGAGCCATTGGCTGTGGCGCCTGCCCCCAAGGCGGCAGTAGTTGAGTCTACTCCGCCTACTATTGAACAGAGACCAGGGACTCCCAGGTCCTCGGGTCTCAAGGCCTCACCTCGCCAGGCGAGGCCAAGCTTCGAAAAACCAGCTCGCATGAGCGGGCATCCAGTGCCTCCGAGAGGCAATGGATACGGCGGCACCTCTGGTGCCAAAAGAGCGGCGCGGCTCTCTGGAGCGCGCCAAGAAAACTAAAAAGCTCATAACAGGGCCTGATAATAGCCCTGCTACTTGAGCTCGACCTTTCAGTTTAAACAAGTCACTCCCTTAACGTACACACAGCACTACTTTACTTCCAATATGGAAACACAAATTATACATTGGAACATCAGAGGCCTGCTTAAAAACCTCGACGACGTCCAAGAGCTTTTATACAAACACTCACCTCAAGTGCTGTGTGTACAGGAAACACATCTTAAATCCTCCAATACAAATTTTTTACGTGCTTACGTCATATACCGAAAGGACCGAGATGATGCTGTGGCGTCATCCGGTGGCGTAGCCATTATTATTAACCAAGGAGTAGCGTGTACACATTTACCACTCCAGACATCCCTTGAGGCGGTGGCTGTTCGAGCATTACTCTTAAACAAACTCGTCACCATCTGCTCTTTGTATGTACCTCCCCACCAACGTCTTGAAAAACGTGAATTTCAGTCCCTAATAGACGAACTACCGGAACCTTATTTGCTTCTTGGGGACCTAAATGCACATAGTGGACTGTGGGGCGATTCTCGCTGTGATGCACGAGGTCGTCTCATTGAACAATTTCTCTTCTCTTCCGGCGCCTGTTTGTTGAATAGGAAAGAGCCAACCTACTATAACGTTGCCAACAAAACTTACTCGTCTATCGATCTCAGCATCGTATCACCTTCACTCCTACCCCTACTCAAATGGAAAACCATAAATAATCTATATGGTAGTGACCATTTTCCTGTAGTGCTGAGTTCACAAACAACATATGAAGGTCCTCTACACGTTCCCAAATGGCTGATAAAAAAAGCAGACTGGGAACAGTTCCATAACACTACACGTTTGAGTTGGACAGACTTATGTAGGTTAAACATAGATGAAACTGACGCAGCAGCCAGGTGCATACCTCAAACATCTGGAATGCCCGGCAAACGACACGTCCCATGGTGGAACACGGAGTGTCGTAATGCGCGAAAGGAACAGAACAGGGCATGGAGGTTGCTGCGCAACTCGCCAACAGCGGAAAATCTTGACACGTTCAAGAAAATAAAGTCTAAAGGAAGGAGAAACGCGTCGGCAGGCCAGAAGAGAAAGCTGGCAGAAGTTTTTGTCGGGGATCAATTCATACACACAGGAGGCAAAAGTCTGGAACATGGTCGGTAGGATAGCAGGGAAACAAGTACACACACTTCCACTTGTAAACACTCAAGGTGATACCTTGGAAGATCAGGCAAACTTCCTCGGGGCAACACTTTGAACGGGTATCCAGCTCGTCCCACTATACTGACACTTTCCAAAAATACAGAACAAGAATAGAAAAGCAGAAACTCGAACACAAATGCACTAGATCCGAGGCATATAACCAAGCTTTCAGTCTAGCAGAGCTGCAAATGTCTCTAAACTCCTGCAGTACTTCTGCCCCAGGTTCTGACCGTGTGATGTATGAAATGTTAAAAAACCTACCAACGAAACCCGTAAAACCTTACTTTGTCTGTACAATGCTATTTGGTCTTCTGGCACTATTCCTACCTCCTGGAAAGAGGCTATTGTTATTCCCATTTTGAAAGAGGGCAAGGACCCTTCTTTACCCTCGAGTTATAGGCCTATAGCACTTACAAGCTGCTTGTGCAAAGTCTTCGAAAAAATGATAAACTGCCGACTTGTACATTTCCTTGAAACAAATAATTTGCTCGACCCATTTCAGTGCGGGTTTCGAGAAGGTAGATCCACCACAGACCACCTTGTTCGTATCGAGGCACAGATCAGAGACGCCTTCGTCCATAAACAATATTTTCTCTCTGTGTTCCTAGATATCGAAAAAACGTATGATACAACATGGCGGTTCGGCATTCTAAGAGACCTGTCTCACCTTGGTGTGCGCGGAAGAATGTTTCATATAATCGAAAGTTACCTGTCAAAGCGGACATTCCGTGTCCGTCTGGGCAGTGTGCTTTCCCAAACATTTGTCCAGGAAACAGGCGTGCCACAAGGTGGCGTGCTTAGTTGCACACTTTTTATTATCAAAATGAACTCTTTGCACTTGTCCATTCCCCGCAATATGTTCTATTGTACATATGTCGACGACGTTCAGCTTGGCTTCAAGTCATGCAACTTGGCCATGTGTGAGCGGCAGGTTCAGCTGGGTTTAAATAAGATCTCCAAATGGGCAGACGAAAACGGATTTCGATTTAACCCACAAAAAAGCACGTGTGTTTTGTTCTCTCGAAAGAGAGGCATGCACTCGGAAC